ATTCATAGTTGTGTTTCGAATTCTCATGACCTAGACATACCCTTGCAGCCATTGAGAGACATATGTATCTCCTGAGTATGGTTTAAATTCCTTAAGAAACTCAAAGTCTCGGGGCTTAGGTTCATCTCGAATGTCAGGGATAAAGGGACTCCGATCTACCCCTATCCCAATGATCTTCCTCATTTCTTCTCGAATCAAGACATTCCGATCTCTTGTTCCCTGCTGACCTCCATGGAGGTATGGCGGATTTTCTCTATGCTTGTAATATTGCTGATGTCCGGGAGGTGAGTATTGAGGACGGTGATGGTATCCTCGGTCATGATAGCCCTCGATGTTGTTGTTACCTTGATATGGTTCATAGCCAGGTCTATACTCCTCTCTTCGAGGACTTCTTCCGTTCCAATTAGGTCCCAGACGGTCGTGCACGTTAGTTCGCCTTGGAGGATTCCATTCTCCTTCTTCAATACCTTGATACTCGGGGAGCCATGATTTTCTCGAGCACCTTCATGCCTGTATGTTGCATCAAATTCCTCAAGGGCCGTATCGAATGCTGGCTATCTTTCTCTGAAGGCATTCCAAAATACGGTGTCTGGAGTGGCGGTTTAGCAGTCTTCGTGGAGGTCTTCATAACTCTCAACTTCTTGGTAATCCTCGTTCTCTTGGACCTTCCGCTTCCCATGCTTCTTTTCGAGAAGGGCTAGGGTTCGGCGAGCTTCTTTCTCTTTGATCAAATCACTCAACTCCTATTCTGAGGGATCAGGTTTTCCAAGGAGACAGTGCCGCCTGGTTTCCTCGAGGATGTATTTTTGCATCCTCTGTTGTTAATCGCTTCATCCCTTAGCTTCTTGAGTTCTGCCTCGATCTTGGCCAGCTTCTGATCCTCCAAACGTTTCTTGGCAGCAGGGGTATTCCGAGGAGAAGGCACATCCTCCTTTTCAGATGGATGATTAGCCTTGTCTTGCTTCCTCGAATCTGGCCCAGAAGAACCAAGGACCAAGCGTTGTTTTGCTGGTTCTTTTTCAGGTCCTCCGTCATGGCTCTTTCCCGCTTTCTTCCTTTCTTGTCTACGTTGGAATTCTCCTAGGGTGGTGTTGTCTTCCGGACTATGTCGTCTGCCGGAGGATGCTATGCTGTTGGTGTCTTCTTCCACCCTAACCATTGTGCTGATTGTTCCCGCAACCCTAGATCTCACCGGAAGGTGTTAAGGAAACCTGAGAAGGTTTACGTGACACAAACCCTAGTTTCTGGGTCCCACTGGGCGTGCCACTTGACAAAGCTTGGTTTTACACCGCCGGTCTAATAGTGGAACTTCGGCTAGGGTTTCCTGTAAAATAGAGCCTCGGGGGTCTCCCAAGGGTAGACACTCCGATGCTTAAGTCAGTAAAAGGTTTTAAGAACGTCTGGATACTTAGTATGTTAAGCTAGAGATTGCGTACCCGAATTGTGGTGCGACGAACCTTATTTATAGGCATGAAAGCACCTAGGAGATAACCGAATATTACTAGGTTTTGGGTTACCTAAACCGCCTTATGAGACTCAGCTGGACTTCCTACGCGGTTAATGGGCCTGTCCAATATTGGCAATGGATACAGACTCATCAACTTGGTTCTTGGGGCGGCGTCTTAGTTACTTCTCGAAGTGTTGCTTTCATTGCTGTTGTAGATAAGACCTCAAGGGACGCGCCGTAGATAGCTCCTACGTTGTGAGTGATTTGTTTGGTTGGATCAGAAGGAGGAACTTGCTAAATTAGCTGTGGCCCTCCATCCAGGGATTGTTGGGCAAGTTGCTGCGAGTTATTCCTTTACTGCGAATTGTTTCCTCGGTTATCTCCTTGAGGGCCGCTATTATTATTCTGCCTAGGGAAATTATGAGGCGCCGCAAATTTTCCTCCTTTTTCTTGAGGAGTACCTCTTGTGTTTTGTGCATACTGCTGAAACTTTCGAGATTTGACCCCAGCTTCAATTTCCCACTTGAGTTCCCTGCAATCTTCCGTATCATGCCGTGGTCTTTGTGGTATTCACAGTATTGACTTGTGGACCTACTCAGGTTGTGAGCTAATGGTTTTGGAATGGGGAACTCATCCTTGTCAATCTGAAGTATTTCTCTTCGAGGCTTCAACAACGGGGTTAAGGTCCTGTCGAGCCTAGACAAGGGCGGTTTATTCTCCGTCGTTGACTTGTACTTGTCCCTTCTCCCTCGATCTCTTGCAAGCGAGAAGGATTCCTGTGATCGCTTGATTGTCTGTTCGCGCTGGATATAGCTTTCCACTGTGGCCCACATCTCCTGTGTGTTTCGTGGAGGTTTGGTGGTCAACTTCACTTGCAGGTGAGCAGACTTTTCCCATGGGTTGAGGCCTTGGATGAATCCATTTTGGACATCTCTGTCATCGAGGTAGTCTACTTGGAGGGATTCTCAAGTAAAACGGCGATGGAAATCTGAGAGACTCTCGTTTTGTCCCTGCTTGATCGACGCCAGGTCAATTGACATTTTTGTAATTTGCTTGCTGGGGAAGAAGTGTGTGGCTAGCTTCACTGACAAGTCTTCGAAACTATCAATGCTTCCCTCCGGTAGCTGTCCAAACCAATGTTGCTTTGGCCATGAAGTCAAGAGACGCGTTTCAGATTCTCATGACCTCCAGATACTTGTGCAAAAACCGTTGTGGGTCAATGGCTCCCGAGTAGTTGACGAAGTCTTTTGGAAAGTCAAAGTCTCGAGGTTTCAGACAGTCTCGAATCCGTGGGACAAAGGGACTCTTGTCCACGATCATTCCTATCATTCTTCTCATCTAGTCGCGGATGGACGGGTCTTTGCGGCATTGGTTCTCTCGTTGTCGAGTATATTGGGGTTCTTCAGGATATGGAACATCGTACCTCTGATGACCATAAGGTAGGTATCTTGAGTTGTAGTGAGTATCACGGTGGTCATGATAAGACTTCTCCAGAGAGGCTTTAGGTCCCAGTCAAGAGTGGACGTTACCTCTCGGGGGGGAGTTCCGATCCCTTCTCGACAACTCTTCAACGCTGGGTGACCGTGGGCTAGGCTGGCGGTGAGACAGTTTTTTCTATTCATGTTCTTTTGTAAATTGCTCAATCGCTGCAAAAATTGCCGGATTGTTCTCTCGAGGGCGTCCCAAAAGCTATCAGCAGGGTTTTTGGAGGCCCCAACGCGAGAGTTTCGCGATTGCGGGCTTCCTTGTGCAACTCTTCTCCCCCTTTACCCTGGACTTTCTGTTTTTCTCGCCTCACCTCGAGGAGAGCTAATGTTCTTTTCGCCTCCTTCTCCTCGACCAGATCTTCCAGCTCTTGATTCGTAGGATCCGGGAGGCCAAGTAAACAACAACGTTGGTATTCCTCTAATATATATTTCTTTTTCCTCTGGTTAAGGGAATTGCTGTCTTTTAAAGTCTTCAATTCCGTTTCGATCTCGGCCAGCCACTGTTTTTGGTATGGATCAGTAACTTTGTGATGAGTTTCTAGATCTCCTTCCCCCTCACCTTCGTGACTGGTTGGCTTTGTGGCGGATTTCTTTCTTTTCGACTGCCGGCCGTTTCTCTCCCGCTTCTGTCTCTCCTGGAATCTCGCTAGGGTTTCATCATCACTGGGGCTTTCACGCCTACCGGTTGATGCGGTACTGGATTGGGGATTATCGATTATAGCCATTGTGTCTTAGAAAAACTCTAGCTTGGGATGGTATCAGCGGATCGAAAAGGTTCTGAAAGCTTGGGAAAGCTTTGTGACACGAACCCTAATTCTCAGGTCCCACTGGGCGCGCCACTTGACGATGCTTGGAATTGCACCTCCAATCTGGTGGTGGAACTCTGGTTAGGGTCTCCTGTAAAACAGAACCTCAGGGCCTCCCGAGGGTAGACACTCCGAAGTTTAAGTCAAAAAATAGGATTGTCAAATAGTCTGTATGTAGATTGGTGTCAAAGATAGCGTACCTCAATTATGGAGTAATTATCCCTATTTATAGGCCTAAGAAACATCCGATTATTACTAGGTTTAGTAATATTGAGTCACCGACTTCGAAGCCGGTTGGACCTTGGACAAGGTGATTAGGCCGACCCACATCCAGGGGTGGATTTGGACTCGTTAGCATCTCTACAGCAAGAAGAAATCACCTCATTTTGATCCCAACTCTGTACGAGCCATCTCAAGAGAAGGGCTTATAAGACTACTATGCTTTAGCTGTCTATGAAATAATTCAGGGTATGTCTTCCTTGCCAAGTTTTTCACTCAGAAATACAGAGAATTTCATCCGTGGAGGAAACTTCAGAATCTTCAATTAATTAATGTTTTGATGCTGCCATTGATTGTGAATTGGAAGTTCTAATTAATTGTGAATTCACAAGCCTCTGCGTGCATGAAGGTAGAAGTACCATATATTATACAACAATGGGCATTCTTTTCTTCGCTTGAGTTTCTTTCTGTTAGTCGTTAGCATTATATAATCCGAAAACAAGCTATAAGTTCTCCATGTATAAACGTGCCATTATATACTGTACTAACTCAATTTTGTAGTAAAGTACTCAATTGTTTGCTATGTGATAAAATCAAACCTTGCTCACCATTAACAGAAATGAAGATTAGTTGAAATGTACACGTACTTTTAATGATATAATTTTTTAGAAAGTTCAAACATGCTCTATTTAAATTTCCATCAAACCCATATTTAAATTCTGTTGGATTTTCAGAGGTGGACTAATGACATAACTTCATTTAAGTGCAAACCAGGGCCTTTACTTATCCAAACACACAAAGTGCTTCACTGCTTGAATCTGGAGATTTGTTGGGATGATTTTGATAACAATTTATTCGTCACAAAAAAATAGTATACATTAAATTTTGAGATATTTGTACTAAAAGAAATATAAATTTCTAAACATTTATGTTTTAAGAAAGGGATGAGTATTAATAACTTCAGTGCTAGTAATCCGAAGATAAATTAATTATATACAAAAAAAAAAATCCTTAACAAGAGTCTCTCGGTGCAAAAGCACAATGGCTTGGTAGACATATGATTAGTCACTGTTGCCATAGTACTTGAATGTGAAGGAAAAAAAAAAAAAACAAAGGCACAATGCCATGACGTGCCACGAACATGATCACTTTTCCCAAACAACCGCCAAATCTTTCCTTCTTTACTCTGTAAAGTGAAAACCTTCTTCACTGTAGAAACCCTAAACAGTCAAACTGATGACGAAATCTAGGGTTCATCCGTTTACAAAGCCTAGGAGTTATAATCGCGCTGGGATTATCTCAAATATCAAGCTCCAGGATTTCATGTGCCACAGCAATCTCAAAATCGAGCTCGGTGATCAGGTCAATTCATCACCGGCCGGAACGGAAGCGGAAGAGCGCTATCCTGACGGCGTTATGCGTGGCGTTCGGATCCCGGGCGAAAACGACTCAACGTGCTAGCAACCTGAAAGGGTTCATCAAGACGGGCTCCGGCGCCGCTTCTGTTCAGGTGGAGATAAAGAATCAAGGAGAAGATGCTTTCAAGCCGGAGATATACGGCGATTTTATTGTTCTGGAGCGGCAGATTACGCCGTCCAGAACTAGAACGATTCTGAAAAACTCTCAAGGGAAGAAAGTGGGTAGTACTAGAGGTGAATTGGACGAGCTTGTGGCACATTTCGGAATTGATGTGGAGAATCCATGTGTTGTAATGAGTCAAGATAAAAGCAGGGAATTTCTGCATTCCGGAAATAATTGGGATAAGTTCAATTTCTTTTACAGGGCAACTCTGCTTCAGCGGCTGGGTGATTTGTTGAATAATGTTGATAGAAATCTCAGTGCAGCCGCCGCTCTTGTTGGTGAGATGGAAAGGTCTTTGGGTCCCTTGCTGAAGGAAGTTGAAGAATTGGAAGCTAAGATGAAAGGAATGGAAGAGGTGGAAGAGATTTCGCAGGAGGTACAGCTTTTGAAGAAAAAGCTTGCCTGGTCTTGGGTGTATGATGTTGACAGGCAACTGCGAGAGCAGACCAAATTGATTGAGAAGCTGGATAAAAGAATACCTACTTGTCAAGATCGGATAGATAAGGAGAAGTGCAGGATCGACGAATTAAGTGATGGGATAAACACGAAGAAGACACAAGTTGAGGAAATGATGGAGAGGGCATCACAAGTGAAGAGAATGATGGATGAAATGCAGCAGAGTCTCGTGGCAGCCGAGAAAGTGAGGCAAGAGTTTGAAAGCAACTGGCAGCGTGAAACCAAACAAATCGAGAAAATGGTTGAACGCGTGAAGTTCTTTGAGGAGCAAATCAATGAGATAGAGGAGCAGCATTTAAAGGATACTCAGGCAGAGGAGTTAGAGATGAAGCAGAAACTAAAGGAGGTTCAGAATAAAATTGATGAAGGAATTCTGAAAACGCAAAGATTGAAGAAAGAATTAGAGTCCCTGGAGACGAGCTTAATCGTTTTAAAGGAGGATATCACAAGTTGTGATTCACAGATAGAAGAGAACGAAAGGAGGCATCCTAAAATTTGTTCCCAGATTCGCGACCTCAGACAAAATAAAGCCAATTTTAAGGTTTCAGCTTTTGGAGGGAAAAGAGTGATCAGTCTTTTACGGGTCATTGAGAGGCGTCAGCATAGATTCCGAATGCCACCTATTGGTCCCATAGGTTCTCATTTGACTTTGGACAATGCTGATGTTTGGGGTGCCGCTGTTGAGCATGCCATTGGCTCATTGCTTAATGCATTTATAGTGACAGACCATGGAGACTTACTTCAGTTAAGGGCTTGTGCTAAGGAAGCTAACTACGATGGCCTCCGGATAATTATATACGACTTTTCACGTCCCAAGTTGAATATGCCAAGCCACATGCTTCCACGAACTAATCATCCGACTGTTATATCTGTGCTACATAGTGATACGCCTACTGTGATGAATGTATTAGTTGATTTGGGCAGAGCTGAGAGGAAAGTTCTTGTTAAGGACTACAATGCTGGAAAGGAAGTTGTTTTCGATCAAAAGGTCTCAAATGTGAAGGAGGTGTATACATCTGACGGCTTAAGAATGTTCTCTAGTGGTTCAGCACAGAATATTCTTCCCCAAGACAGGAAACTGGCAACTAACCGTATATCCCGTTCTTATGCCAAACGGATTGAGGATCTGGAACGAGAAGCTGAAAATGTGAAACACCAAGCCGAGGATGGGTTCAAAATGAAAAGAAAGAAGGAGAAAGAGCTTGAGGTTGTTGAAAACAACCTTGAAAGTGTGAAGAGGAGATGCATCGAAACAGAACTGGATTTGGAGTCCAAGGAAAGGGAACTGGAAGATACGAAACGTGCATTTGCTTCAGATGGTAGTGCTGCTCCTAAATCTACAACTGATGAGCTTCATCAAGAGATTGCTACAATAAAAGTTGAGATAGAAGAGAGGGAAGTAGAGCTTGAAGATTCACGTAAGAATGAAAGAAGCTGGACAAAAGGCTGATAGTCTGAGGACTTCATGTGATGAAATGTGTGAATCCGCAAAAGTAGACACTGATTCTTTAGCTGAAGCTGATCGTGACCTTTCATTAATGGAAAGAGAGTTCGACGAAGCCAAAAGGAAGAAGAAACACTTTGAGGAAGTAATGGAGGGAAAAGTCCTTCCTGATTTAAAGGCATCAAAGGTACACTATTGCGAGCTTGAGGAAGTCCGGAAAGAGAGTTGCAGAAAAGCTTCCATTATATGTTCAGAGAGTGAAATAGAATCATTAGGAGGCTGCAGTGAGGGCAATCCTGAGCAGCTAAGTGCTCGATTAAACATTCTAAATCTATGACTTAAGCGCGAGAGCCAGAGATTTCAGGAGTCCATTGATGATCTGAAAATGTTACGCGATAAAAAACGCCGGAAAATTTGGAGAAAGGAGCAAACTTTCAAAGGGTTTCAAGACAAGCTGAAAGCATGCAGGAATACCCTAGAGTTGCGTCGGATAAAGTTCCATAGAAATGCAACTCTTGCAAAGCGTGAGTTGACTTGGAAATTTAACAATCAGCTGGGGAAGAAAGGGATTAATGGTAAAGTTTTGGTTAGTTATGAACAACAGACTCTCTCCATAGAAGTAACAATGCCCCAAGATGCATCAAATACAAGTGTTTGTGACACTAGAGGGCTCTCAGGTGGCGAACGTTCCTTTTCAACGTTGTGTTTTGCACTTGCTCTTCATGAGATGACTGAAGCTCCTTTCCGAGCAATGGATGAGTTTGATGTATTTATGGATGCTGTTAATAGAAAAATCAGCCTCGACACTCTAGTCGATTTTGCATTGGCGCAGGGTTCCCAATGGATATTTATCACGCCTCATGATATCAGCATGGTTAAGCAGGAGCAGCGGATAAAGAAGCAGCAGATGCCCGCTCCTAGGGATGAAATTGTGTGTGTAGCTGGTTTCCTCTTTTGTGACAGTAATTTAAATATTTCTTTTTATGTAGAGGTCTTGGCTTGTAAACCAAGAGAATGTTAGAAGTTTGTCTCTTGTATCATATTTCAAGGTCTTACATGTAAGTTTGTCTCTACATCTTCGAAATCCTATTTTTATTGATCGTTGAACTTGACCTTAGTTTCCCCATGTACATTCATGAAAAACTTGGAGGCAAGTTATGGTATTGACTATTAAATTTGATCTTGTTACTGACACAGCACTCTCAGAGTCAGTTATTGGAATCAAGACGCACATTCAACAGGTAAAGTTTGCTGAATTTAATTGTCATTATTCATACAACCTGGCGGGGGGTGGTTTGTGGTGTGGGGGGATGGACTCTACTTTCATAAATCATTGATCCCTGACCCTCCTCTGAAACCTCTTTGCCCAACTCCATCTCTATTTAGATCATTTCCGTTTTCTCTGTTTACGTGTTTCCTGGAAAATATTCTACATTGGCTAATACTGAACTTCTGCTGTGGCATTGAGAAGTCATCCAAGGAATCATCTCCTTTATTTGCTATCTACCATTAATTATTGAGCTGAATGATTAATGGAGATAGAAATGAAAGCAGATTCTAAGTACAGATAAGGAAGGCTCAATGATTAATGTAAGATAGAAATGAAAGGAGATTGTAAGCACAAATAAGGAAGAGAGAGAAATAAAAAAGAAAACCTCAAAAGAGCCGTCTTCCTCGTGCTATATTGAAGGACTGCATAACATTGCACTGAAGCAAACAAGATGAATTTTCTAAGCTTTGAAACATTGTCATTAACCTTCAGGAGCCCACGGATTCAGTCATCACTAGTTGCTTCACTTACAGAAATCTTTTCTATCCGGGGCATCAATTGCAGGCACCAAGTGAATCAGCTTACAACAACACCCCAAAAAGTAGTAGCCATAATTACCCTTACAACACCCCACGTACAAAATCTTCCGTGAAACTTAAGGTATGAGAATTGGCCAAAAGATAGAGAACCAAAACAATATGGAATAAAAAATTGAAAACTAGTTGTATGTCAAGTAGTCTTATTAGCATGTCGAAGAATTTCCACCCCCAGACGTCCCAGAGGACTCACCCATATCCTGTGTATTTAATGCCACATCAATGGTTTTCCCCCTATCTGCAGAGTTATCCACAGCCCTGCTTAGTCTCTTCAACCAAGTATCATAATCAACTGGATATGGAGTTCCACACAGGCTGTCTATATAATCAGCAAATGCTTTTAAGACGGGTGAAACCTCACCTAATCGCTGCTGTATGACACGCTTTCCCCAGCATCTTTGCTTCCAATGTAATGCAGATTCTATGGAGTCTTGCTGCTTCATGCTTCCACCACAAATGAAATACATGAGATAAACCAGAGACTCTGCATCAGATGAGGGGCAAAGCTTCCCATTTTGAAGTGCATATGAAGATGAAAACTGTAAGTTTATTGGTGCTGTGTCTTTATCCTCTAGAATTGCACGGCCCCAGGAGACTAGAATGTACAGACAGCTACATCTTGTTCTATCAACTGCACAGATTATGTGTTCAGGACAGATATCACCATGCTGAATGTTAGCCATTTTTGCACTTCTCAAGGCTGCTAGGCAGTCTCGGCAGCAACGAATTGCTTCTTCAGCGGAAAATGGACCATGTTGCGCCACAATGGATGAAAGCATTTCACCTACAGGATAAGTTACAAGTACAGGGGTTCCACATGAAGGATGGTCACAACATCCCTTTGGGCTTTGCTTCTCACAAGGACCAGAATGTAGAATTCTGCCTGAGGCAATTACTTCAGGCAAGAACTTGCTAGTAATACCCTGCTCCTTAAAGATGTTCAGGACTTTAGTTTGCCTTTGAACTTGGTACCACAGACTCATATCCTCCCATGATGGCTCCAACCGAGAAGTGTGGGCACCAACGTATAATGTTAAGAGCTCCGTGGGATTGTCCAAGGACACAGCAACATAAGATGAGATTCCTTGAGCTAGGGATCCTTGTATCTGAAAACTTCTTTGTTGCAGGTGGCGGTCTTCAATAACCAATATTTCATCCTCGTTAAGCTTCACAAGTCGCTCTTGCCTGTTGAGATTCTGGTTATTATGGGATTCAATTTCTGCAATTTCTTGATGGTGATCCTCATCATGTGGAGAAACCAAGTAACTGTCATTCTCCGCTAGGCGGCACTCTATTCTACGCTGATGAAGACGGAGGATGTGGTTTGAAGCAAGAGAGTCTATGGATTTTCTTGGTGGTCCAACACACTGGGCAATAGAATGAAATGATGCCAAAAGCAGCTGCAGAGTTCCCAAGTCTCGCCAATTTACGTTTCCCAACTTGTTCCATACTTGCTCGATGGGTGAAAAGCAAACTTCTGCATGACACTTGATCCATTCTGCAACAGACTGGTAAGGGTTATTCAAGTCCATCTCAAGATTGCCAAGGTCGCCACCCAATTTTATTACACCTCCAAGCTTGGAGTCAAGTACCAAAATGAAAACGCATTCATTCCTAACTGTGTTACCCTTACTCAAGCTGCGAGCAAGAAGGATATGAACAGCATAGAAAAGTGCTTCACAAGCGACGATAGAAGAAAAACAATATTCATCACCCATCATGATATTATCTTTCAATAAGGAGCACAAAATCACGTCATGCCAGCGACTTCGGAGCTTGCCACCAGTTTTTGAAATCAATGCAGCACCAGAAAGCTCATTTAGCCTCCCTTTAGATGTTGCTTTCTCAATGGTATAAAACTTGGATCCAGGATAGCGAGCAAATGATACATGAAAAGGCATGGGCTTGTTTCTGTGCCAAAAGGTATGCCACAAGCCTTCTGCCATCGTACGTAGAAGATCATCAAGAGCCAGAAGTTCATCCTCTCTTAGACCTTCAGCATCAGGAGACGAAAAAGGCATGCGAAACATTTGCTGAAATAGCACCCCCTCCAGTGCCAAATCAAGGGAGCAAATCTCATCAACTTGAAATGGTGAATGGGGATGAATTTCACCATTGTTTTTATGTGAGTGTAAATTATCCAGAACCCAATCTTCAAGATATTGAGTAAACAAATTTTGGTCGACAAGTCTAGAAGCACATTCCTTGATCACTTTATAAACCTCTGATGCTGGCACAAATGTTTTTGAATTGATAGATGCAGCAGGTACAGAGGCAACTGCAACAAAATGGAAAGGTTAAAATCAAAGTACTTCACTTGCACAAGTAGGAAACTTGAAGCATATAGAACTTAGCAAGAGCATATTAAAAGACAAATAACTCCATCTTATGTCTGTTACAGTGATTCAAGTGTCATGATAAGCAATATCACCTGTAATCATGAGGCACCAGCCAGAGCACTTTCTGTGTGCAAAACTGGATGCACACATCTCACAAAGTATTAACGTTTTACGTAAATGATTATATCTCATCTTAGATAGCTAATGGGATGATTGTATGTACGTTATCATTCTTTTGCAATACGGTACACCAAGAGAGTATCATGTAGAGATACCATTTTTGCTTATGGATAAAAAGACAAAAACATGGATTAAGCTGTCCCCTGTGAGAATGAAGTGCCATATTTAGATCCTTCTACCACATAAACTTAACAGCTGAAGGCGTAGCAGCATAATGTGACAAATATTCTTCAAACTGCAAACTGCCTGCCATTCCACATACATTTTCATATGGTTATGTGAGCATTTACACATGTGGATGGGTCATTGAATCTTTTCCTATTGCAATGAGATACATATTTTACTTCCAATTGCATCAAGCTTTGTTCCAAAAAACAAAGCTAAATCTAAGTAAATTCGTGTCTGATTCCATGTATAAAGTTTGGCTCAATATACTACAAGCATAAGCATGTCAAAATGTTATCTAGATTGGTTCGTTAGTCTACATACACACAACAAGACACTCTAGCAAAAGTTGACATTGAAGTATGATGAAGATGTTCCGAATTGATGCTTCTATAAGGTTCAAGCATATGACTCAGCAAACAATTCGCACGCTCAGAAAAGCAATAAATTGTAGGCACTCAATAAGTACCATCAATCATTGAGAAAACATTATTGATAGAGTTAATAGAAGTAACACAAGTTTTTTTGTGAACCAGAGAAGGGGAAAGAAAAATTTAATGAACATCAATGCATCTGGCGCGAAGCATAATGAATGCCTGAATATGATTGTTCCTTCCATAATGACTTGATCAATGACACATGTTTGCATAGCTTAAATCCATGTTTAGCAGCCACTAACCACTCATTCTTTCACCTGCTCATATTTAATTACACCATCAAGAGGAATATATCACATGGTCAATTCTAAGACTGCTGGAAACTTGCACTGCCATCAAAGAGCAAATTTATTTCATAATCAACCTATTATATTTCTAAGAAGGGAACTGGCCATAATCACTTTGACTAAAAATAAAAGAAAATGAGTGTTAACAACTGTGCAGTAGTATATACAGGTTAAACAAATAATGAAAGTAAAAAGTACAGAATCCTGTTTTGATTTTTAAAGCATATTAGGCAGCCGTAAGCACTTTTTATTTTGTTGCAATGGAGATTTATTATCATTAAGACTAAAACCAAACGAAAAGAAGGAAGCATTAACAATTGTGCAGAAGTTCATACGGGTAAACAATTAACAGAAGTAAAATTACCCTATATTCATTTTTAAAGCATATTAGGCAGCCATAAACACTTTTTATTGCGTTGCAGTGGAGGTTTCATCCCATAGAAGACATGGTCAAGAGAGAACTTCAAAGCTAAAACTAAAACCTCCCAGAACCAGGCAGATAGCTGGATGTAGTGCACAGTCTCCATCAGCTCAGTTTCCATTTCCTATTCTATAAATTATCAGTTGTCATTTCTATCAACATCGGGAAACCACCGAGAACATAAATTAGCATATTAGATAAACCAACAGGTAAACATTAGTTCACATGTCGGAACAACAATCCATTATAATCATTCGTAATCATTCATTCCATCATTTGGAAAAAGGTAAAATGCCAGTTTTCTAGTTTCTGAAATTAACTGTGGCTTAGCTGTAAGAAAACCTACATGGTACAGTTCTCTTTTACCTGTGCCTTGATACCCAAAGCCACTAGTTATGATATAGGCTAATAATATTCCAAGTCTAAGTTTAAACATTTCTTTACATCTATGTACTTCTTTCTTACTCACCGGTGGAAAGACTTCGCTTCAGGATTCAATTCAGCTTAAACACTTCAGTCATTGATAATTTTTTTGGACATCAGAGCTACCAAATAACAAATTCGAAAAGCACAGGGACAAGCAAAGTTAACTTGAACATGCAACACACATCAAAATCATTGATATAAGATACAGTAACACACCAGATCTAGGCTTCCTAAAACTTCCATCCAGACTTCTTCCTGAGGATGACTCCACATCATTGTTTTGAGCATCTGGTCAAATAGGAGACAACTATTGAATAAGAGAAAAGATTATTGTCTAAATAAAAGAGAAGATCAATCATCCAAAACCATTTTAATAAATAAACAGAAACTTAAAATCAACAGGGAGCTATGTTCGAAAACTGAGAAGACACAGGTTTCATTTGTGTTTGCATATCAATGACATCATTCAGAATAAGAAAGAAAATTGACATTTCTGAAGGAGCATTTTTGCAGTTTCTTCTTTATTTTTTCAACAGGAAGCGAGTAAGAAACAATTATTCTTCTCCGATAAATCTTTAGACTTGGAAGTTTATTTTTTTCTTTTGGAGGTTAAAATGCAAGTAAGCATATGAAATCACCCTTCTTTCTCTTCACATGAGTTAATAACAATGAGAAAAGCTTTTTTCCACCGTATGAGATGTTGTTAGCATTCTTTAGATCTGGAGGGTATATACCCCTTTTTGTTGTTAGTTTTTTAAAGACTTGGAAGTTAAATGGTACACGTAAACATATTTAATTATCCTTCTTTCAGTTCGTACAAGTTAATAACAATGGCAAAAGCTTTCTGCAACCTTAAGTTATAACTACCAAGTTTTGGGTCTCAAATGGCTAAACATCCATGCTTCAATTTCAGGTTTCAGAAGCCTGCCCAGCTATTCAGCCCTACACTTCTCTGATTAGCCACATGAATATGAGCTATAACTGAACAACCTAGATAGTTACCTATTCAACATTTTCTTAAAATAAGATCGTTAAGCAAATAGGTCAAGACCAAAATGACCTTTCCTTATACTATAGTTTCTTACACCGTGAATCCTGTCGCTGCCAAGTTAATGTTCAGTTGTCTCATTTAACTTGTTATACAAAGTAATTTTAGTAAAAACATGCTTTTCCAATCACTGCTTGACACCAGATGAATAAAAAATGCAGAAAAATGATAAGATATATTCTGTTATTGGTTGATTGTTATTAGTCTGCTATTTCTTTCATAAGCATGTACATCCCCAAGTCTTCATCAACTTTTAAGAGTATTGAAAGGCCTACACTGGAGTCTCATGAAACTTTTATTTGGTCCAAAACCAAGAATAATGTTTCTCCATTTGATAGTGCATATTTCTACACGAAACTCTAAGAAAATATATGAAAGAAAATGAATAACCTTAATTTATGTCTTGTATAACATAAACTATGACTGCACAAGTGATCCTCACAATTGAGGAAAGAATAGTCATTGATTAAAATGGTTTCATAAGTGATTTTAAACTCCATTTGGTTAGATAAATTGCATATCCAAAATTGGGCGCGTCTGACTCAAAATCAAGTGAAAATGGGTGGCGAGACTCCATTAGTTGGTTTAGCTTGTCTCAAGTTGATATGATCTGGGTGTCTGGAAGAACAAAATGAGATTAAATAATTGCACAATTCCAAGATTTCAGAGTAGGACCCCTGATACCGGGGGGGCGGGGAGGGGGGGGGGGGGGGTTGAGGGAGGAGGGGAGACACACACACACACACACACAGAGCTAGAGAACCAGCCTTCTACCATATCTGGAAAGATCTAATCCAATCCAAACCAGATCAGCTGGGTCAGATAGAACCTATTTTGTTCCTGACTGAACTCAAATGACCCCGGATGGAATAACCAGATCAATCAGAAACTGATCCAACCAGTGGGTGTTTGAATCCCCTGGTGTTCGAAACCCAATGTGCCCTTAATAGTTATGACAACCAGGCAACACTGGGCTGACCTGGCCTGTGACATCTTGTTTTTGAAGCTAGGCTGACTTGAGCAATTTAAACCCCAGCGGTAAGAATATAAATGAGAAGCAAGCAAGTCAAAATTGAACCGGAAAGAAAACTAATAGCAAATCCAGATGATAGAAACAGAATTGAGCATTTAGTAGAACGCACACTGAGAAAGATGTGGTCATGATTGGGTTTGTTGCTTCTACAAATTATCTAGTCACTTAAAAAATTTAACACCAAACCCAAAGCTCCAATATCTTATAATATACAGGCATCTAAATAAAAAATAATTGGACATAAGCTAGTAGAATGACTTAACAACCTTCCTAGTTGCCCTATCAAGAGTTCGGAATAATTGATAATGAGTGAATTCCCCCAATGTACTGAGACAAGAATAAAGCATTCTAGGTTCAGTATAGTATTTGTAAATAAAAGGATGCACCAAGGATTTCCTCTTGTGAATGCAGAGGCCAATATCTTATAAGAGTCAAGTTTGGACCGTAAATGTAGGACAATATGTCCAATATGTCTGAAAGTCACCCCTAACAATTACCAAGCTAAAACATACTCCCTCTGTCCCAAAATTATTGTCCAGTTTGAGATTTCAGTTTTAGTACAATTTGAACTAGAAATGAAAACCCAAAGTGGACAATAATTATGGGACGGAAGGAGTAGTTTTTTATCAGAAGTTGATAGTAGTGAAAGAAACTGGTAGTAAATAAGAAATTGAACAAAAGCCACAAACCCGATCTTGGCTTTCTGAAGCTTCCATCCAGACTTCGTGCTGAGGATGATCCAATATCCTCTTTCCGAATATCTGGTCAAATAAGAAGAAAACTTTTGAAACAGTTGAAGGGCCAGAATACCATAACAGAGAAGAACAAAAAATGCAAAGCAAAGCAACATAAAAGGGATGATATTTCATATGACAATTTAAAACATGTGTAGCAAGTCGAGTAGAACTGAGCTGCAGAAGCCAGCTCAGGAATACCTCACAAACAATTTACACACTCATAGTTAATTTCTAAATTAACTGCATTTACCCAACTGAAAACTAACCCAAGGGGTGAGGCTGTCCATCACATTTTTATTTAGCATTTTGTCCAATATATGTACCCGTGAATTAATATCCATCAACATGTTCCCTCTCCTTTATTACATGATGTAAACTGAGCAGGAGGGATTTTGTTGTGTAGGTATCATTCCTTGAAATTCAATTAGTGTGGGGGATAAGAGAGTTGACCATCAACAAAGGGGAGCCAGCATCAAGTCTACAGAGTGATTAATTTTTAAGCTTCTCAATCCATCTAGCAACCCAAAGCAAAGGACTTGTTTTAATGTAACTTTGTGCGTCTATGGCTAGTGTGAACAAATCAAAAACAAACTTTAATCCTCTAAATCCTAAGACGATGAGCATTTTTCCTTTGAATATACACTTGTCCATATTATTAATGGTCTGGACACAAAGTTAATCAGTCTGATAAGTTGAAATATTGAGAAATCATATGGTTGATGACATCTACTACAACTGTGCTTGTAACGAGCCATTTCTACAAAAGCCAAATGGTGTACTTCAATTCAGTAACTTGAGTATCAACTGATCTTCTATTTAGTCACATTAGTCATGGTTAGCATTGGACTTCACTTTACTCAGCATTTTCACTACAGAAGCTATCTAACAAAATCAATTAAGCAGTTTGTTAAATAAGCAATATATGTTTTTTCTAATACTTGAAACAGAGCCTTGGTGCAAGAAAAATACGCCATTTCCCTGTGGATTGAGGTAATATGAGCCGGCAGGAGCCTCTATGGTATGCAGAGTAAGGCATTTGACACTATGATGGCCCAACCCTTTCCAAGTATGCGACCTGGTATTCACCAGACTACCTAGATCCTAAATAGTTGAATTATGCTTGTTCTGAATAAGATTGGGTTTAGCTTTTGAAAAGGGTACTATTCAAGAACAAGTCAAAAGAACAAAATACACTCCAAGGTTTTTAACTTTCAGCTCAAGCAGAAAATTTGTTTTCCTACTCTAGGATCATGGTGCTCATTCCTGAACATGGACATCAAAATTGAAACTGAACTACTAGTTTTATGCCAAAGTTAAGCTTATAGAGACTAAAAGGGAAAACAAATCACTGGCTGAGAGGTAAGCTTGCATCATTATGACAGCCGCTATCAACGAAGATAAGGGTAAGAACTTCCCCTTCCTAAATTTATTAAGGTTACCACTACTCACTCACGTTTTTGCTACCATGACAGAAGTTTCAAAAATGCAACCTTGCAGCACATTCTGTTGCTCATTACCATTAATGTTCTCTTCTCCTCCCTGTAATTATTGATGGGTTTAAGCCGATTCAGACTGAATGATTCCATGTAAATTGAAAAGGGTTCCATGAATTAGTCCAGACACAATAAATGGGAGTACTCAGACATCACCAAGCAAAGAACACAATGTATGAAAAATAACTATGAAACAAAAAACAAAAAAAAAACAAACCCGACAACCAATGCCTATAGTAAACGAGAAACGAGCTTCAAAGGGGTAGCAGTAGCAGGAAACAGCAAGAAAACTCACCTAATTTCATCTTAAAGGCTTAAGATTTGAAGAAACAAAGAGCTCTGGCACTGCTCCAATGTCATTAGTATTGGGGACACAATGTAGGAAAGAAAAGGAAAAGAAGAGGGGAGATCTTAGTGAAAATGCAGGCAGGCAGGATTTAGTTTAATTTAATTGATTTGGGTAAAGAGAAAAAGACATGGGAGGAGTAAATGTGAAGCTCCAATGAGTTTTGAGTGTACATCATAGGGAAGAAGAATGATGGACTGATGGTGATGTTGCCTCCCACGGGGGTATTTTTTGGGACACTATAATATATTATAATAATAATATATAAAAACTTTGTCATGAAATGTTAAGTATTTTATTACTGATGATTGATAATAGTGCTCCTCTGTATTTGGTTTGTCACCTTTGTGGCTTTGTCCCGTATCTGTTCTCAGCCTGCAGCTGCAGGTTATCAAAAGTTGTAGAGAGAGTTTGGTCGGAAAAAATTTCGTTCCTACCTAAAACTTTGCCATTGTCGTTAATCATACTTAATAAATTTTTGGTTAACCAACTTTACTCTAATGTTTGAAATTTTCGTCAATTTCATCCAATCGGCCCATTTTCCGTCCAAATTAACGGGTCTCCGTTAGTTTTTTAATAAAATAATAAATTTAATTACAAAAATATCCCAGTAATTTTTAAAAATTTTAAAAATAACCCCTAAAATATATAAAAATAACAAAACAGTCCCTTTTCACTTTTTATTTTATTTTCTCTATTTTGTTCCATTTCTCTCAACTACTTTCAATGACCATAAAAGTCTATTACATGAGTTTTAAAAAAATATTTATTTATTTTCAAACTCTACCGTAAAAATTAATCTTTGTATAGTTGTAACCCATGATTGTAATTATATAAACATGTTAATATATTTAATAATATTGTTTAGCAATAAAGACACTATTTTTCTGATTTATTTATTCTTTCTAACATAAGGATTAAAAGTATTTAAATGAAACTAATATTCCACATAAAAATAAAATATTAGATCAAATAAAAAAAATATTGATATATTTAAGTGTATTACAGTTTAACTCAAGAGACTATAACTTGTATTAATATAATTCATAAAAAATAACTAAAATATAAAATAATTCAAACCTTAAAAAAATCCTCCAAATATAAGTTTTTCTTCTTGAATCTAAAACCTATTTTCTATCACAATAACTAACTACCATATTTTTACTTCCATTCAATTATTTTAAACTAAAATCATATAGAATAAGCTAGTAAGACTTCCTCTATAGGTAGATATATTAACATCTCAAATAATTATTACAAAATATTAAATCCTAGCATTGATAAGTATAAACATATTTTTTATAAATTATATTATGACATGTAGTCTCTCTAGTTAAATTGTAATACACTAAACTATACTAATATATTATTTTTTTTATTTGAGCTAATATTTTATTTTTGTGTGGAATATTAGTTTCATTTAAATATTTTTCATCTTTATGTTAGGAAGAATAAAATAAATCAGAAAAATAGTGTCTTTATTGCTAAACTATATTATTAAAAAGATTAACATACTTATTTAAATACAATCATGTATTACAACTATACAAAAATTAACTTTTACGGTAGAGTTTGAAAATAAATAAATATTTTTTTAAAACTCATATAATATACTTTTATGGTCATTAAAAGTAGCTGAGAGAAATGGAACAAAATAGAGAAAATGAAATAAAAAAAGTGAAAAGGGTCTATTTTATTATTTTTATATATTTTAGGGGTTATTTTTAAAATATTTACAAACTACTGGGGTGTTTTTTATTTAAATTTATTATTTTATTAAAAACAAACGGAGATCCGTTAATTTGGACGGAAAATGGACCGATTGGACGAAATTGGCAAAAATTTCAAACATTAGGGTAAAGTTGGCTAACCGAAAATCTATTGGGTATGATTGACGACGAGGGCAAAGCTTTGGGTAGGAACGACATTTTTTCCGAGTTTGGTCCTTTAAGGAGAGGTGTCGAGTTTGAATTAAGGGAAACAAATAATTTTTGGAAAATATATGTCCGCAAAATGATTGATTTAGCAAGTCAACTAGAGAAAAAATACTCTTTCATTTTATACTGTTCGAGTAAAAAGTAGTAGAAACCGACTCACCCAAACAGTTCAAACGATCGAGTGCAATTTACAAAGTGATATCTTTCAAATTTTCTATATAAATTTAATCTTTTTTTTTTGGGTGAAATGTAAACTTGTATTAAAGATTTGCAGGAGTACAATTGTCACTACTTAGAAAAAGCTCCTCATGTTCATGATACTTTATACTCTATAACTAAATATTTACATCGGATACAAAAATTCTTAATCAAAACATACTGTCTAAAAATTGCTACAGGACAATCCTCCCGGCTTCACTCAATTTGTGATGTCTTCCTAGGAACCTGGTGAACATGGTTTTTACTTCATACTTCACCAGTCTCAGAATTTCCAGCACTTGTCTTATTTCACCAGTAAATAATTTTCGGTTTCTTTCCTCCCATAAATGATAAATTATACTCCCTTCGTCCCATAATTATTATCCCGTTTTACTAAAATGAAAGATTTTATTTTTGGTCAAACTTAACTATATTTTACCTTAAACAATTGGATATATCCCTACATAAGTAATTGTTTAACCACTAAGATTTTATGAATGTTTTTTACTAAGGACAAATGTGTAACTTGATCCATAAAAAGTCAAATTGGACAATTAATTTTGGGACAAATTTTTTGGGCAAAGTGAACAATAATTATGGAACGGAGGGAGTAGTTGGTAAGATTGCCCAAATATTTTCCTTTTGAGTTTAGCTCCCTTCCAGAGTGTTACAACCTGATTCTGCTATCTTCCCCAACTGTTTAATATTCTTCTGTTTCCTATCCAGCTTTGTGCATGTTCCATCACTTGAAAAGCATAATTATAGTCAAAGAACATATGAGCTACAGATTCATCAGATTAGTTACACATACTACAGTCTCCTTCTGCCACAGGAATGTGCATCTGCACAAGCCTCTCTTTAGTCAGCAGTCTCTGCTTCCAAACTAACAACCAAATGAACGCATGTTTAGGGACATTCTGTCTAGACCAAATGCATTGTGATCCATGGAACTTTGCCCTAACTCATATAAGCCATTCGTAACCCGAAGCAACAATATATTTTCCAGCTTTATCAGCTATCCACTTATCCCCATGAATCCAATTTTGGCTTCGTCCCTAACTTTTAAAATCTGCTTCCAATGCCAACTACTATCCAATCTTGGTTGCACATCCCATATAATATTCATCTTTATATACATAGCATGTGTCCACTTAATCTACAAACTGTGAAATTTTAAAGCTAAACACCAGACTTGTTTCAAAATAGTAGCTCTATTCTAAATCTTTGCATCTCAAATTCCTAAACCACTCCTAGAGTTTTTCGCGTAAACTTCTTCCCAGCTTACCAAAGCCCTGGCTCTGCTATTACTTTTCAATCCCCACAAAAACTCTCTACAAATTTTATTCACAGAGGTTGTAACACTTTGAGGCAATATAAATCTAGATCCACAACATACATGCATGGACATCAACACTGAATCGACTAATTATACCCTACCAGCTTAAGATAAATGTCTAGTACACCAGCATTTTATCCGAGCCACCATTTTACTGGTTATTTCTCGACACTCTAATTGAGACCATTTTTAAGGGGATTGGGATACACCTAGATATCTCATTGAGAATGTACCAGGCTTAAATTTAGTGATATTGCACACCTCTTCTTGCTGCTCTTTGTTGACTCCTCCAAAAAAATACCTCTGACTTTGACAAGCCGTCCTCAGAACTAGTCAAATAAATTTACCTATTTAACACTAGTATAGCGAAAAATAGGGTCGTACCCAAAGAGAAGGAATACTAATTACCAGGTATAAATTACTCCTATTATTATCTAGATAAATGATGATCTCAGATTTATAAAATTTAAACCTAAAATAAATAAATAAAATAAAAGCAAATAATATTAATTCAAATAATCAGACAAAGAAAACCTAGGACATTGGGTTCACCTACCGAATATCTGGTTTGATTCAATTCACAAATATCTGACTTTTAACTTCCATTAATCTCACAACGATTCACCTAATTAAGAACTATACACTCTCGTGTTATAATTCTCTTACTTATATTAACCCTATGACTACTCTCGTGACTATAGGGATTAACAAAAGCACATTAAGACCATTAAGAATCAAATATTGCAAAGGTTATAATCTTACTCTCGTAGCTTATAACCTAAGTTTATTATTCCTACGAACTAATATTAATCTTCCACTCTCGCTACTTCGACTAATATCTTCAGACATGCAAATAGTGGCCAATTACTTACACGAATTAAAACAAGAATAACAAATATTAATTAATGGAAAAGTCAAATACTAATAAACTAAATAAACCAAATAAATTCGGTGGCTACACCCAAGCCCTAGATTAAAAGAATTTAGCCACTAAACATTATTAAAAAAAATTCAATAATATTTAGAGACATAATAAAAGAAAAAAATAAATTAAATAATTAAAACTTCGAAACTCGAATGACGCCAAAAACCGCCAAAAACTCCCTGCCGGTTGCTAACTTTGCGGCTGCTGAGCGTGATCAAGGAGGTGCTCGGCTGCTTCGGTGGTGCGGCGTGACCAGGAAGGCGGAGAAGAGGAAGAAGGCGTTGTTGCGGCAAGGATGATGGCTTCGAAGGTGAGCTCGGTGATGATGGCGGTCAATGGTGATGATGCTGCCGGCTGGGAGAGGAGAAAGCTGCCGGTGAAGGAGGAGAAGAGGTAGTTGCAGCGGGGATGGTGATGATGAAGAGTTGACGATGGTGAAGAGGAGAAAGCTGCCGGTGAAGGAAGAGAAGAGGTAGTTGCAGCGGCCAGAAGCGAGGAGGTCGGCGGGGGATAATTTTGAGCCGTGAGGTTTTCGGTCAGTTTTCGGTCCAGTTCTGTTGTAACAATAAATCCCTAATCCTCCTTTTATAGGCTTCCGGCTAAACCCTATTTCTTGAAGAGCAAGAAAACTTGTTTCCCAAATTATATCGGGATTAAAATTCTTATCCAATTCCAATCCGAAATCAGCCGCACCATAAGCTTCTCGGCCAATTTTCCAAAGCCAAGAATTCTAAAATTGCATCATCGGCCCTCCAATTCTCTAAACTCATTAATTTCTTCCCCATCAATTGCTCCAATCTTCAATTCTTTCTCATTGATTTGCTTTTAATTCGATTTTAGCTCAAAACTTCAACAATTTTTCATTTGAGTACAATTTCTACAATTAAAGATAAAATCACATAAATAACATATTTGTACTCAAAATATATTGCAAAAATCACA